ACCAATTAGAGAGATTTAGTGCACTTTAGTCCAACTACAAAGCTACAAAATCAAATCTTACGGTTTTGTTCTTTCTCTCATTCACAAGGTGGTGCACGTTGATAGTTATGGCAGCTGAACTAATAACGAGTTTATGGGACCATTTATACACTGAACAAAAATATGAACGCAACACCTTTGTTTGTGCTCCCATTTTTCATAAAACTCAAAGAGAGATGTTTTCTTTGTACACAAAATACTTTTTTCTCTCAAATATTGTTCACAAATTTGTGTGAATCTGAGTTAGTGAGCACATCTCCTTTGCCGAAATAATTCATCCACCTCACAGGTGTGACGAATCAAGATGCTGATTAGACAGCATGACTGTTACACAGGTGAGCCTTAGGCTGACCACAATAAAAGGCCACTCCAAAATGTGCAGTTTTATTACACAGCACAATGCCACAAATGTTGCAAGATTTGAAAGAGCGTCCAGTTGACTGCAGGAATGTCCATGTTCAGAGAATCTGGCAGTACATCCAACCGGCCTCGCACCCACAGACCACATATAACCGCACCAGCCCCTGTGTTTGTTGTTCATAACATTCACCTGCCCATACCATAATGCCACTGCCACCATGGGCCACTCGATTCACGGTGACATCAGCAAACTGCTCACCCACACGACACCATACATGCAGTTTGTCATCTGGAAAACCGGGACTTGAGCATTTGCCCACTCAAGTTGGTTACAACGACAAACTGCAGTCTGGTGGAGACCCAGATGAAGACGACAAGCTTGCAGATGAGCTTCCCTGAGATGGTTTCTGACAATTTGTGCACAATTTTTTTGGGTTATGCAAAATGATTGTTGCAACAGCTGTCAGGGAGGCTGGTCTCAGACGATCTTGGAGGTGAAGATGCTGAAAGTGAAGGTCTTGAGCTGGTGTGGTTACATGTGGTCTGCAGTTGTGAGGTCAGTTGTATGTACTGCCAAATTGTCTGAAACCCCTTTGGAGACAGCATATGGTAGAGAAATGAACATTCAATTTACGGGAAACGGCTCAGGTGGACATTCCTGCATGCCATGCCAACTGCACGCTTCCTCAAAAATCGCGCTTTTGTGGCGTTGTGCTTCACATCTTAGAGTGGCCTTTTATTGTGGTCAGCCTAAGGCACACCTATGCAATAATCCTGCTGTCTAATCAGCATCTTGATATGTCACACCTGTGAGGTGGATGGATTATCTCAGCAAAAGAGAAGTCCACACTAACACAGATTTACACCAATTTATGAACAATATTTGGCAGAAAAGGCCTTTTGTGTACAAAGAAAGAGTCTTAGAACTTTGAGTTTCGTAAAATATGGAAACAAAAACAGAAGTGTTGCGTTTATACATTTTTTTCAGTATATGAAGCTGTCTTTCAAAGAAACTATAACAAGTATGTTGCAGTTCAGTCTTTTGTCACACGACAACAACCATCAGAGTTTCTGACACTGAAACTTTCTGAATCCAGGTCTCAGAGTGGACCTTATCGGGGGAAACAAGGCAGAGGTGTAAAATCCCAGTGCGCTCTACCTGCAGCTGCAGTCAATGATTTTTCTGCTCTTGCGTGAGCAGCAGAACAACAATGACCAACAGCTTAAATCAACAACAAAAATGGTTAAATCATGTCATCTGGACCCGTTTCTTTATATCAACGTTCTGTTAGTGATGCTCACCCAGCATGCAGGAGTGGAACCAACCACATCCTTAGTCCAAACAAAGGTTCCTGTATTCAGCGTTTTGGATATACAGGTAACTGCTTTGTTTCTCATGCTGGGACTGCATTCATTTCTTGGTGAAGTGCAGCATCAGTGTTGCCAGATATACAATAATTACCCTTTTCAACTCCCCTCGTTTTCTGCACACATGCACAACACACTTTTTCTTACAAGCTCCCACCTCCAGGAAAGCACATGTCACTCAGCACATATGAGAGTTTGGGTCAAAATACAATAATTTTAAAGTGACTGTATGATTGTTGTTCATTTTCTATCTGGCAACGTATCTTGGTATGGAAACTTCAGCAGATCGATGTTAACGTGCTTTAAATATATTGCATTGTCACAGTAAACAATGAAAAAACTAATGTTTCTGGAAATTGTGGCCTAGGATCACCAAAACGTGATTGATCTTTATTTATTTCAAATGTCAGAACTACTGTATAATTGCGGTGGTAACTAAGATAGGTAGGTCAATCTATGTAGCGATTATGTACATAACGGGAAACGGGCTGCTCTAAAGAAAGGCGAGACAGAGAGTGTGTTTTCACTTTTTGGTAATGACACAAGTCATGCTAAAACTCCTTAAAGATCCCAAATCCTGCTTGGTTTAGCTTCAGCATGCACACAATAAGTCTTCCAAGTGCTTGTCAGCTATAGGCAGATGAGCCTTCAAATACGACATTTGCTTTCACCTTTATTTGCTGTTTTCTGCCAGTATTTATAGTATGACTACGTTTGGGAAGCTAGTCTTTTCATTTCTACAACAGCAGAGAGAAATACAATACTGTGCAAAAGTTTGAAGACCCCAAACTTCATGCCAAATTCCTCATGTTCGTTGTAAAAATATAACTGTTAGAAAGTTGATATAAGTGTCAGATTTTTAGACACAGACAGGTTTTCTGTCAAGGAAAGCTCTCACATAGCTGTCAAAATATAGCTACGTAAAGAGCTGTTGCCCCAAAAAATAAAAGTGAGAAGGGTTTGAGAGGTAGATAAAACTCTTTGAACGTGTGGAAAATATTAAAGTAAAAAGGCGAGTCTCTCTGACTTAAACAACAACAAAGAAACCCTCACGGGTCTTGAGATATTCCAGGTTAAGGTCTTAAGGTTCATGCAGTGTATTTGATGCAGTGCCTCAAATCTGCATTCATCCAAATGGCTAGTAGGAGGAAAAAATGACAGGAAAAAAATGGAAGCATCTTTAAAAAAAAGTGGCCCTACTTCTTTAAGGATTTGCTACATCATTAAACATTACTCTAATGGCTTTGAAACCTCAGTCACGTCTTTCAAATCTTCTTGAAAGCAGCATTAATACACCACTAATGCTCATAGTGACTGATAACTTGCAGCCTTTGCACAAGATGTGCAAATGATATGTGAAACAGCAGTCTACAAACAAGCTGCAGACATGACTTTAGAGATGACTGTGCAGTTCTATTTATAAGGTCCAACAAAACGACAACAACAAAAAGCGTGTACTTTGCATTTTTACTTCCGTAATACAAAGTTTAAAAAGCCAATGTTAGAGTTTAGTTTTGTTCATCTGAGTTCAGATATCTGCCCGTATTATCTCCTATTTTGCAGCGGCTAAAAAAAGCTCAGCTGAAGTACGGAGATTATCTCAAGGGAAATCTACAGCATCTAATAGCTGCTGCTCTCATCCAATAAAAAAGTTCGTAGTTTACCTCTATCTGTCATCATTTGACACATTATTATAGACATATAAGAGCACAACTCTGTCACTCAGTGAAACCCCCAGACAGATCTCTTATCACATCTTAGCACATGTGGAAAAACAACTAATCTTCAGATTTTTCTCTCCGTACTCAAACCCTGCTTTTCTCAAACGCTCTATTTTCAGTGTTCTTCTAACGCTGTAACTCTGAAAGGAGGAAGATAAGCTTCACAGAGTGAGGGCGACAGCTCGACACACACGCGCAGCAAATACAGAAAAACAGCGAGGTGACATCGTGTCTGTGTGGCGGCGTCACGCCAAGCTGAGCTGAGGAGTGTCTTTATAATTAATGTAGTTGAGCCCAGTTCTCTGAATGCAAATGCGGTTGAAATAAAAACTTCCTTTTTGAAGCTAATTTCAGATGAATCATGAAGAAAAACTCAAGCGGCATTGTTCTTTAGTTCGTGTGACTGCCTGAGCTAATCTGTGTTCACAGAGGAGATATACTTTTATCTTTTTAGCGTCTTGATGATATTTGTAGCTAAAGCATCACGAGCATGTAGTTAGGTTAATTTAAGTCTAAGGAGCCACATGAGTAGAAGATACATTCAACTGTGTTGTAAATGCTTCGACGCATGTGAGCAGATGTAACTCATCTTTCTGTCAACCTGTCAAACAACCACTACGCTTCCCGATTTAATTTTAGCCCCCATCCACAACAACTCATTTAGAAGACTTCAGCTTGACATTAATAGCTGGCTGGGGCTCTTCAAATTGTTAATTTATTTGCTAATTATTCTCCTTCTCTGAACAACAACAATAAATCATCTCTTCTATGAAGTCAAGTCAAGTCACATTTATTTATATAGCACATTTAAAACAGTAACTGTTATCAAAGTGCAAAGTATCAAATGAAAAACTAAAGTGTCATGTTAAGTTGGGATGCTTTTTTTTTTCTTTCCCCAGTTAGGGTTAAAATCAAAAATAATACATGACCATGTACAGATGCACATGTGAATGTGTAATTTTGACCAGTAGTTTAGTCCAGTGGTGTAGTCTACATTTTTGTAGTGGGTATACTGTGCTTAGAAACCAAAGTACACCGGTTAGTACAATGTAACTGTCAATTTATTTAGATTTTTTTAATGCATATTGAACATTCCCAAATTTCACTGATGCTTATATTTGAATAAATATGCAAGAAACTTCGTAAAAAAGTTGGCTTGTATTAAAAACATGTTGTAGAATTTATAAACGGTATCAAAGCAAAACATGTTCAAGTATTAAGTAGTAAGTACAGAATTATACAGTAATTTGCTGGATAAGCGAATGTAATAAACAAGCACTGTATACAGACAGATTGTTATGAAAGTGTTTAACTGCCGTCTAACAGACCAATGACACGTGCTTAATGATATGTCATGTATCAATGGGCACTTTTAAGTGGGTATACTGAAATTCTTATGCTTTTCTAGTGGGTATACGGAGTATACCCTCGTATCGCATACACTACACCACTGGTTTAGTCTCAATTGAAATAAAAAAAAAATAGAAAACTATTGCTAGAAGTTGCCCTCACCTGTTGTAAATGTCATCGTCCTCCCCTCCCCAGCCCCAGTACTCATTTGGAAAACCGTTGATTTTCAGAAACTGCTTTTTACTGAGTCCTGAAACGCCTCCAAAGTAGCCAGCATAAGGCAACCTGTAGGAGAGAAGGATAAAAAAGGAGGAGAAGTTAGAACACGTGAGAAGGGTAGACTTTATTAAGAGTACTGCTTATGGCCTATTATACGTCTGTCACAAAATTATTACACAGCAATCTATAGCAATGACGCAGATGAGCAAAGACCAGGTTTTTAATTTGACTTTGATTTGTGACCTTGACCTTTGAGCTGTGGTGGTGAAAACTGTACGTGACACTGTTTAATGATGATGCATATGTGTCTGAAGTTTTATTAAATTATCTTGAGCAGATCAGAAGTTATGGCCGGAACAAGAGAAAGTTTATGTATGTACAGAAGGAGAATACCATATTACATCCTGCCTTCAAAGGGCGTATTAAAAGGAAGCAGATAAGCAGAGGCTGCAGGAAAAAACAAAGGATCTGCGTGTATATTATAGATTATCATAAAACTAAAATTAAATTTTGTAAACAAGCAATATCAGCACTGCTTCTGTGTATAACTAAATCAAAAAGTCAGAAAAAACATTCTAAAATATAACGCTGTTCCCCAGGTGAAGGGTAATTTCCAAAGGGAACAAAGGATTTCGGTAGGTAAACAAAAAAAAAAAGGACAAATTAAACATAACTTTTGCCATATTCATGTTTAGTCAGAGACAGATCCTCTAATAATGGAAATGTTTGCTTACTGAATTTTTTTGTAATGTTTATATTTGATACATTAACAATAATAAAAGGGGCTTCTAAGTTTTTTAACGCTGAACCAAAAGCAAACAGTGGAACTGGGCACTCAGCATGAATCTACAGTGTATTTGCAAACTCTTAACCTGCCATGTTCAGTGGGAAATGGGATTCTAGCTTTATTATTTCCCTCTGTGGTCCAATTCATTTGAAAAGACATGAATAAAACATCCATATTCAGTGGGAACCAAGTACATCACACTGGGGGGAGGAATTTCAACCAAAACAAGACCATTTCTGTTCTGGTTCTGAAACCAAATCTTAGCATTTCAGAAAGAAACACTATATAAATATATATATAAATACATAA